CACCAGCAACTGACTTATCTGCTGACTGTCTGCAGTTTTGAATTCCTCTTGAAGTTCAGGTGGGATTTCCAGGATTCCACCTCATTCCGCTGCCCCCTACTTTAATCCCACAGAAAAAGGAGCAGGGAGGATGCGAAAGGCTCAATTCCCACGACAGCTTGAGCCTTGTTCATGCAATTCTCAGGGATTATAAAGGAAGTTACAGATGATTTGCTGCCATTAGAGCAGAAATCAGCATACGCTTAATTTTTGCACATGTAAATGTATAAACCAATTAACATCTAATGTCAGAAAGCATCCTGATCAAGCTGTCTGCCTGTAACCACTCCATATGAAGCACTAGTTTATCTAATACCAAAGAAATGGTTGTGCAGCATTGTTCTGGAAGTGGTAAGCCTTGGACCAATACTGAAACAAACAAACAAAAAAAACAAAACAAAAAACAAACCACCAAAGAAAAATAAGGAAACATACTGTGCTTTGTTAGCAAGGCCTTGCTAGGAATTGCGTCATCAATTCACGCGTCCACAAGAAAAGCATCGGTTGCGTTCTCATTTTCAAACCAGGCAATTTTTCCACTGTTTTTTTTCAGAAGGCTCCCACCAGACAGCACACGGAGCCCGTGACGGACCCATGCTCAGGAAGCCTGACAGGAGGGTGCTGCCCAGCACCCGGCTCACAGCACTGCACTGCAGTCCCTCCGCGTCTCCAGTAAAGATTCCCAACAGGGGGATTTCCTCTGCTTACCTGAACAACAGAGATGTGCCCGTGTAACACAGCAAAGGTAAGAGCAGTCCAGTGCCGGCTGTCGGGATGGACTGAAGGGTACCGGGGAGAGGTACTGGGAACCTGGGAGAAAGCAACCAGGTAGTTATTAACCACTGCAGCCTCTGTCTGCCATAATCTTCAGACTCGTACATAACTGGCTTTTTTCTGTGTAAGTGACAACCCCAGGGAACAGTAACTTTCGCCATTTAGAGAACACTGCCAGCGCTAGTCCAGTCCCCTGGGCCTTTTTAATGGGCTTATTGGTTTCTCTTAGTGGCAGCTCTTTCAGGAGGGAGGCCCCCTCACCCCCACCGTGCCTATTAGACTTGCCAATGCCAATCATAATTGGAGCCACTGAGTGCTCCAAGAGGTTTTGAAGGTTTTCTTCCCCCTCCCAAATCCCTGAAGCAATGATTTCTGAAAGAAGTGGCTTGCTCAGAAGCTTCCAGAGATGAAGCCTGCAGTTGCTAGGAGAGATTTCATAACTGCTCATGTTAGTTTACGGATGAATAATTATGGGGAGAGGGTCCTCTGTTACTCACTGGTATATCTAAATTTGCTCCAGCATCTATAAGCATTTGGACCATGGCTTCATCTCCAGCAGCACAGGCGTACATTAGTGGGGTCATACCCTTCAGGAAGAAAAAAGAAAAGTTATCTTGCTGTACCTATCAACAGCAAAACTGTCACCAACAGAGCGAGTTTGAATCTTAACGCGCAGAAGAGCGTGCACGCGCATGCATGGGGACAGCATACGTGTATGTTCAAAACATTTTGGGTTCTATGCAGAGTGGGCACAATGCACAGGTATTGGAAAGTGATGCGGACAAAACATCAGGGGTCAAGACTGCAAGAATACAAAAGGGATCACTGAAAATCCCAGCTGTGTATTGTCCACAAATCTTGAGCCTTCTCAGGGCTGCCAAAAAAGAAATACCATTTCTTGGATCATTTGTAGCCAGATGAACCGAAAGCAGGAAACAACACAAAAATACACAAGATTAATTTAGTTGGCAACGTATCCCTATTGCTGAAATCCTATTTGCCACAATATTTCAGCATTTCAATCCCATAAATCTCTCTCTCTCTACTTAACCAGCAAACCATGACGGGTCAGAGATGAATTATGAGAGAAATGAGCCTTACTTACAGAGTTCATTCCACAAGTAGCCAAGGACAGAAAGGACAAGGCCCAGTAAAATCCATTACTGCTCACATCCTGCGGCCTTCCCTCCCCCCCCCGCCTTAATTATTGCGAGCATTTGAATTTTTCACAGGCAGCATCTCTGCTGCTCATTCTGTAATAATACAGTTTTAGAGGCGGACATGAATCATAAAATAGAATTTTGTCTCACACTGAGGAGTTCTGATCTTGTTTCAGCAAAGGCATCTTCCTGCACTTACATTTGCAAAGATGTTTTGGAGGTGGGGGGAGATGGGGGGGCTTGGGAGGATCCACTCTCATTATAGACAAGGAAACTTAACTGAGAATTCAAAACTAGGGTCTGCGGGCACAAGCAGGGTTCAAGCAGGCACAAGACAAACAGTCAGGGTTCTAAAACTGTTTTCTTAAACACCTCAAATCCTGTGAAACCAGAGCGCTGCTTGGTACCCGCTAGATGTGAATACAGGGTCCTGCTCCAAACTCGTTTCTGCAGATACGTTCCGAGTTCTCTCCTTCTCTCTAAAAGCATCTCCATACACACAGAAGCGGGTCTCAACGCACACCTCAACGTTGGACATGCTCACATTCTGGGACAGAGGTCAAAATCTGAACCTGGATCTAAAGCCCATATGTTAAATTAGCCCAACAGTTCTGTCTATTGTAGGATTTACAACAAAACTTTTCCTGTACTTGCCAGGTGAGAGAGAGTCACACCTGCTTGCAGTGCTTCAGAGGTGCTGGCCTGCTGTGCGCTGTTTTAAGACAACTCATCATGACCAGAAGAAATCAAGATATATGAATGGCCTCAAGATATATTATGGCCTCAGGTTGCGCCAGGGCAGGTTTAGGCTGGACATGAGGAAAAATTTCTGCAACAGGCTGCCCAGGGAAGGGGTCGAGTCCCCATCCCTGGGGGTATTCAAAAGCCAGGCAGACGAGGTGCTGAGGGACAGGGTTTAGTGGTGGGATGGCAGTGATAAATTAACAGTTGGACTTGATGATCTTAAAGGGCTTTTCCAACCTAAACAATTCTATGATTCTATGAACTGAACTTTACCAGATGCCCATGTTAAATGTTCTATCCTACAACAGGACGTAGAGACCTGCTTTCTGCTACCATGTCTACATCAGTTTTCCCAAGTTTAGGTATGCTGGCTTTGGCTTATTCCTTTGCAGGAAGGGCAAAAGCAGCCAGCTGCACAGTTCCAATCTGGTTTCGTATTCCAGCTATGGCAGAGCCATCGCCACAGTTTGGATTTAACTCGCTTTGTGACTGGTAGCGCAAGGGAGGACACTTGCTTAGCTGCAGAGATGAGTTGCTCCAGAATCACGTAAGTGGAGAATTTCAGAGCAACAATGTCTCCGGAGGGAGCCTGTCCTGCCCTCCTTGGTCAGTGCCAAAACACTGCTTTGAGCTGTGGGAGCAGCATTCTGCAAAGACAGAGCTGCCAGCACACTACGATCCCCCCCCCCCCAAGTTCACAGTTGGACTGGCTGGAGAATGACATCAACATGATGACAATGAGACCATAAATAAGTGACAGCAGAAACTCCTCAAGCTTTCCAATGAGTGGCCTACAGAATGCAGGGTCGTGGTACATACAAAAGCCAAACAGTTCCCAGTTTGCTGGCTGGCTGAAGAGAGGTAAAACACATCCTGCAGTGAGAAGTGGTGGTCTTGGCACCAGGTTCTTTGGTGTTAGGATAGCAAGGTTCAGAACGCAAAATAATCTGCTTTGAGAAAACAAAAGGCCTCAGGAACTGCGTAAATGGGAACTGCAAAAACTTACGGGGAAAAAAAAAAGGAAGTAAAAGGCAGACTTTCATAATATAAATGGCTACCTTTGTCACTTTAATAAAGTCAGTATTGAGGGCACCTATGATGTGATGCCCCACCTCTGTGATCACAAAGCTCCTTGTATTGGATATGTAAATAAGGCAACTACATACCTAAATATAAGCGTGTGCAGCAGTAGTTTCTGCTTGTATTTGTGTATGCATTCACACTTCCTTTAAAATCGCAGGATGGCAGAAAGTACCATGGAAGACAGGCAGTTTCAGATTTTGGGCTGATATGCTAGTGCAGCAAAATGCTGTCTATGAGAAAACCTCTCCACTTGAACATAAACCCTTCTTACCGCTATACATCCTATTGTTTCTGAGACATGACAGCTCATTTTCATTGCTGTGACAGCTATAATGAGTGTTTATTGGGAAAAGTTGGGGGGGTTGGGGTTTTTTTTTTAATTAAAAGCTAATTCAGAGCACTGAATGATGCCCCAGAGAACAAACTGCTGTTACTTGATGGGACTGACAGCACAAGCAGAACCAGCTAAGGACTCCCCAGACTATCAAATCCCTATGGTTCAGGGTAGCTGAGCAGGAAACAGGTAAAAATGAAAAAAATAGACTGCTGTTTCTTATATGCCAGACTGCACTGAGAACCTGGAACTCACTTGGCACAGGCAGCCCGAAAGCCATCAGACAGTAACACCTTTTGGTCACCCATCACTGACCCAGACTGGATTTGGGCTGTTGAAGCAGAAGAGAGTGTCACTGGCAAAACCCACTTTGCTTTGGCATTGTCGTAGCATTAAGACAACCTCAGACTTTCCCTTCGCAGCAGTGTATTAACCTGTCTTCCGTCAGTGCCCGAGACAGGCCATCCAAGGAACAGACCTACATTCCAGCTGATAAAGAAACAATTCGCTCTAGGCTTTGACTGGCTTTTTGGGGGGGTTATTTTTTTTGGTTTTTAAGGGATTCATTTTCAGCCTAACACACAAGCTAGAATTAGAAAAGCCTTAGAGAGGCAATTAACACTTCCGACTTCATGTACCGATTTGCCACATGGAAAGGAACATGCAATTTGTTGATGCAAAGAATTTTTTGGGGGGAGGTGGGGTATATGGCATACCTGATCATCCATGGTGTTAACCCCGTCAGGTCCCAGTGCATCGATTGCTTGGTTGATCAGATCTGTCCTTCCACAGTTTAGCATTCGGAAACCCAGATCCTGCTGGAATTTTTCAGTAGCAGCCTTAGCATCCAGTCTCCGGAAGGAACTAAAGCAGCATTCAGGTCTGTAAAAGACAAAATAATTTCTGCATTTTTTTTTTCCTTTTTTTTTAGCCCCGTCTCCTAAGAAATCAGGCTCATGAATTTTCACAAATTTACCTATTGTATCCCTTCCCCGCTGCATAATAATTTCTGAAAAATCTGGCTAACTTCACTCATACTGGAGATAGAAGTTTTAGTTCTCAGAGAAAGAGAGTAAGTGCACAGAAACACCGCCAAAAAAAAAAAAAAAAAATAAAAGAAGGTGTCCAGGTAGAGAAACCGCGTTGGTGCCCTCTTCTGAGGGAAAGGCAGGAAGAAATCCTTATTCCTTGTCAAGAGTGGTAGTTTCCACATAGCCCCTCACAACAAGGGCTGCCCTGGGCCAGACACCGCTTCTGCTACACTTTATCCAGCAAAACAGAGAGGGGATGTGGGAATATGCCGGTACCGTAACAGGCACCAAGCAGCTGGGGTTACTGCAGCAGCAAGGTTACTGTGGTGGGACCGGTGCCACAGGCTGCAAACCCGCAGCAACCAGGTTTCCTTAGTTCTGCTTCGCACAACCCCCCTCCCCAAAACCCAGCTGCTTTAAATAATTAGCTGTATATGTTTTGTATATCATATTTGTATACTCCTGCTTGTTATAGGACAGTCCATCAAACATACACAAAAACATACTGCAATGAGGAGAAAGAGGTGGAGAGAAAGTGTAGCTAATAAAATACCAGTGTAGTTCTAGGCTGAAACTATTATGCTATCTATCTACCAGACTAGCTATTATTTTGAAATAAAAGGCATTTCTGAAATAAGATTATGATCCTTGCTTTTTTTTCTTGGGAGGGGGCAGAAATCAAAATTTAAGAAGTCCTGAAAGCAAAGTAAAATTTAGGTAGTGGAACATTCTCAACTCTTTGCCAACCCCTCAATACAAGGAAGCGTGTTAACATTTCTATGAGGCTCTATTAAATCTTTATCCTTCAGATGACTTATCAAATGACCTTTATCGCATTTGGAAGGAGTCCAGGGATTACTGTAAATCCTCTGGTTATCTGCTCAGAGACTTCTGAATTCCAGGCCTCGAAGTGTATCTCCTTCACTGAAGAAACACTGCCAAATTAGAGGTGTTTCCTATCTCAGCTGGGCATTGACATGCTCAGCCCTTTGATGTTATTTCAGGGTGAATGCCTGCTGTACTAGTTGTCTGGTTTTCCGCACAGGCTCTTGTGCAAACTCTCAGTGAGTGAGATACCAGCCTGCCAAGTTCCTTTGAGCTTCTTTCAACAAGGCTAACCTCTTCTGGAAGCTTTGTATGGCCTGCCAGATAAGGAAGACAGTCATCACTTCACGTAGAAGATTCAAGATGAATCTTAGTCCTAAGTTTTAATTCAGCTGGCCATTTTTTAACGCTTCTGAACTTGCATTGATGGTGAATGACAAATGGTGAGCAGATGCCACGAACAATATGCTGAGTTAACAAAGATCCCTCCACAGCCTGGTGACCGATCACATTGTAAAGGGGAAAACAGCATCTCACCGCAGCTGCTTTCAGAAAGGAACTACATCAGGGTACAATTTGGGGAACACTCAGAAGGGAAGTAAAGTGACAGTCTTGGAGTCACTAGCTCTTTGGAGATACATCTGCAAACAAAATGTGTCTCCGAGGCAGCTGAGTACATCAGAAGACGAGAGCTCTGAAGCAGCCAGATACTAGATGAGGACACATACACAAGAGCGCAAGATAGGACACAGAGGACAGTAAGGCACAACACTTAATGCTAGACACATGTAAATCCTAGAGCTAGGCTAGTCAATTAATAACCTTATTCTAATAAGGTAGTTGGTACAGTATCGTGATGCTACAATATTATGTCAAATATGATGCAATGACTTTCTATTATAACAATAATAATAATGAGAAGAATCCTATGCAACAAAAGGGAAATAAAATGACAACACTTGAAATCCAGTGAGCCTCAGAAAATAAAAGTTTTTGAAGGGATGATACCTGTCTTTGCATATTGTTTCTATTTTGCTAACAGGCATGATTCCACCCAGTGCTATTTAGAGGCACTGCTGGAGCAAGGGTGGCAAATTCACCTGCAGAGTGAACAGCAAAACAAAACGGTTGCACAGAGCTGCCAGAGACACCCAGCAAAGAGGCGGACTGTAGTTCTTGGTGTAGAGCTGCCAGGAGCGCAAGTTCAGGCACAAGAATCTGAAGTTATAATTTGTGAGCTTTACTCCTGGGGGCCCTGCAGACTCAGCCCATGCAAGAGCTACTGTACGCTCGCTGTTCTGTAGCAGTAGCTTGACAGCATGCTCTCTAGGACAGATGCAAGGTAGCTGTTTCTTGTAGAACGTGGTAAAAGGTAGAGCATCCTACAAGAGCTGGGGGGGAAGAGCTCACACACGCACAACTGCTGTGCAGCAGCTGTAACCACAGCAGGTTTTCCACATGTGAGTTGTTATCCCATGGAGAAGAGAGGCAAACTCTTGCAGGCTTCCTAGAGCAAAGCCTGTGCTCCTGGAGTTTTCCCAGACAGCAGCTCCCATGTACGCCCAGCTGCGCCCAGGGGATAACCTGAAGAACTGAAGGTGGACTGGGAGACATTGGGGAGGCAGAGCCCAGAGAGCAGGGAAAGGGATAGGGCTGAGGTCCTAGTTTGGGAAGGGATAGCTTGAAGACGGAACAGGAGCCTGGTGTGCTCTTTGGGTTTCATAAGCAGTAACTACTACTGTAACTACTGGTAATGAATGACTTAAATTTGGCCTGCAGTGAGGAAAAAATAATTAAAAAAAAAAGCAGCGTGTGATAATAACTTAATATTAGACTCCCAACAGTTATATTTAAGTAGGTGGAAAAGAAACACAGTTCCCTGCAATATAGCATTTCCCCACTTACATTATCGTTTAACCAGCAGCAGGTGACTACTGAAGATGTTTATGAATTGTCTGGCAAACATAAACTGAAGGCATCTTATTAGAAGCTTTCATCCACTAAGACACAAGCAATTGTTGTGGAAGACTATACTGCCCAAGCAGTCTGTGTCAGAGAACAGATTAGAGGTCTGAATTTCAGGTTATCCTAATTATACTTCATTCTTCTGCGCAACTTCTCTTTCAGGGATTTCAACATACCCTACCTGATGCATCACCACTGCAAGGAACTATCATTATATGACTTTTAGCCTGTGCATCATGAGGAAAAGCAAGTTGCAATTTCCCTATAGTCACGCAGCAAGCCAGGAATAAATTTGGCTTCAGTTCCAAGATTTCCCCTAACTGCACTGTAATGGCTACAAATGACTGCTTTAAAGGATCATATAATGGGCACTGGAAACGAGGCACTGCTCTCGCCTCATGTTTATTTCTGCTAGTTTAGATCTTTCACGCAGCAAAAAGACAATGCTCTTTCTCCCATACCACACATCACAGAACATCCTTAGACCTCTGAAAATAAAATTCAGGCAAGACAGTTCAGAACAAAGACCTGATCAAGCTTAGCTTTGATTTTTGTCCTCTACTACAAAGATGGTATGCGTTACTTTAAAGCAGAGGTTGGCTCACCTGCAGGAAAGCGTAGGGAGGAACAGTTTGGTGAGGTCAAAGGGGTGAAAGGATCTTAGTTTTGTTACAGAATTGCCATTCTTTCTGTAGTAACAACAAACTGGATAGAAACATCTAATGTACTCCTTCCCTGGGCCAGTACTGCTAACCCTTAACAATCCAGCAACTGAATTAACTTATGCCTGAATATCCCACTTAGCATGGCTGAGGCCCTTTATACCAGCTTCTCACTTTTATTTATTGCCTACGTTATTTTGGACTTCCTGGGTTTCTACCCAGACCTTCATTTCACAGCTGTATCATTACACCTTCAGTTTTAAGTTACTGAGATGGACCCCATTTTCACAAAGGCTGTCTCTACGTGTTTCCTTTTAGCTCACAGCAGCAGCAAAATCAAACACCCAAATCCCTGCCTTCATTTGTGTTTGTTTTTTAAGGTATACGATCTATAAAGTAAGGGTGTGCTTTGTATGTTAATGTGCACAGAAAAACAGCGCAGAGGGAGTGGGATGCCTTTGAAGTGGAAGGTTTGGATTCAGTTTTGAAATCAAAAGTCTTTCTAAAGCAGAGACTGAAAGAAAAACCATGCAACTGACTGAAAGTCTTCTGCGGTACTGTTCATCAAAGAATTTCAAAGGTTTTGGCAAGCATTAGGCACATATGTAAAATTAGTTTAGCACACGTACACTGGCAGAGAAAAGGGAGAAGAAAAGTGTTCCAGGAATAAGCGTACAGCTCCTGCTTTGGGGATGCCAAGTCCAAGTTTAGCTGCTCCCTTCCAGTCTGAAGCCAAGGAGTTTAAATAATAGCTGAGGATCACCTGCGTAACTTCACTTTTAAAAAGACTGGCAGCACTCTCAGTTGGTCAGGTACCACGTCTCAGGAGGAAGGCGGGAACTGAGAGCTGAGAATAAGACTGGGAGTCAGCCACAGCCGACAAAACATTCAGTCACCTAATTGCACCAGCGTACTCACCAACTAATTTAGCTTCACATTCGATTTTGTAGGTAATGAGCACTACGCTTCAATTGACAAATGGAGAGACAGAGATGTAGCAAAAAGCAAGAGCCTTTTTGGCTGCCAGCAGGAAAAGGTAAAAAGCAACAAAAACAGATGCAGGACTCCTGATTAAAAGCCCCTTGTTGCTTTTATAGTTAATGAAAAAGAATTCTAAGAGCAAGGGTATATTTTTATCTTTTCAGGTGATCGTTTCATCACTTAAGAGCATGATAAAAGTATTGTTTATTGTTCTTAATGTATCCCACCCGCTCATTTAACCCAAAGGTATATGAGGGACAGAATTCACTCAAGAAACAAGAATTTACCTTGTACTAAAGTTCAAGATGTAACCCTGATATGAAAACCTGATAACAAATCAAGCTATTCATAAATCCCTGTTCAATATATATGTGAGGGGAGGATTTTAAAAGGTGCTGATACTTTTCATCAAGGTATCTGAACAGGCAAAGAATAATCTTGTAATTAAAGCTGAGGCATACAAAGAACAAATACTTGCATTTCAATCCTTCTCTGTCTCATTCCTCCTACGTAACTTTTGGCAAGACAAAATCTTTGTACCCCAGCTGCAGTGTTTGGCCAGTTTCTTTATCTCTTGGAGTACTAAAAAGTTGTAAAAAACATGTATTGCCTGTATAGTATTTCAAGATCTGGCTCCCATGAAATATAGTAAGAAGAATATTGTATGAAGTTACAATTACTTCAGCTGCTTATAAAGCTTAGTCCACATACTTTAGCTGCCGGGGCTCACAGTCCAGTCCAGGTAAGAGCAGTCTGGCTGTCTGCCTGATATCATCACTGTCCACAGTTAAACTGCGCCGGTGCTCAGCGTAGGTGATAGCCACTCTCATCCACTCCATCAGTGGTGGCAGAAGCATGAAGGGTCTGTGCAGAAAAGGAAAAAAAAAAATCCATCATAGTTAACATTGGCCTGTTACCTCGTACTGCAATGCAAAAGCATGCTTCCTCGCTTCCTGGGCATGCTTGTGGGAGGCTGGCACAGATAAAACCCACCTGCAGAGGCAAATCCTGTCCCTGTGCTCAGCAAGGCTGGCAGTGCCCAGCAGGTGGAACGGGAACTGCTCAGCCTTGCTTACCTGAACTGCATCTTAGCAAAATGGGGTCATGCCGGGACACGCTGGTTTCGTGCAATAGATTTTGCCCTGTGGGAAATAGGGCCAGAATGAATATAGGGGACCTATTTTCTACTCTTAGCTATAGGTCAGGCACCCCTAGCTCAAGCAGCCAATGCTTTGCTTTACATCGGAAGGGCTCTCATCTCAGGGGCGCAGCTTATAGAATAATTTTGTCTGTTGTTCTAAATAATCCAGACGTATAGGCTGCTCCACTCCTCACTCAGTAACACTGAAAATATTCCTGATTATTTGAAACTACAATTAAACCAGGCTAATTCAGTACTACCTCCACTGATTTTTATGTTACATTATCACTATCTGATGGCTTTTCACATCCTACATTTCTTATGCGCAGAGCTCAGGCCTCCAGACCACAGCAGAACTGATGCAGCTATAGTTTAATGTGAACCGTTTTGCTAGGGAGGAATGTGCAGAATCAAAGAGGGAACAACTAACATGGAGACATCTCTGTGCAAGAATAAACATACAACATTACTTAAATTGTAAGCAATTTGTGGAAAAGCAATCTATCTGTTCCTAATTTGTACAGCATCCAACACAGTGAGGTTTTACTCGATATGAAGGGTTGCAAGGCAGAAGGGAATATAAATAAGGTAATAACAATAGCAACAACAGCCATTTTGGAGCAGCTTATGAAGAGGCCCCCCTTTACTCCTGCTAAAAGAATGAACACAGTACTGAGATTACACGTTAATATATGGCTACCATAATACTCTCATACACAACGTATCTCATCCATCCTCTCAATATACAGCCAGACTGATTTATCATTTGCTTGATTTTTCCCCAAGGATACCTGCCACCCTGGTGGAAGGCTCAGAAGTGCCAGCTCTAATTGAAAACACCTTTCCCATTCCCAGTAACAAATTTATTAATGCTGGGAAAAAAAAAGCCCTTTTCATTTAAGCACTCAAAAGAAAATAACGGAGCGGAGAAAGTACCAATTCCTTTACAAAGTTCAGAGGAAAAAAGATACATACCAGAAAATATAAAATGATTTTGGAATTAATGAAAGCAGCTGAACCCATGAAATGCATTTTCAAACCTGTGCATGTACATTGTGTGTGCCCATATGCGAGCACAGTAAGAATAAGCAGCACCAATCCCGTTAGAAACCATTTATCAATAATGGGATTTGCAAGCAGAACTCCTTTTGTATGACTTTGAACATCCTTCAGGGTGGAATAACTCCACTCTGTAAAATATGTGCCATCTGTTTCCATTTTGCTGGTTGCAAGGTGCTCTCTAAAACGCTGCCCTTATCTCTTTACAAACACGTGCACTGTTTTTCCCGCTGCTCCTTCTCTTCTTCTGAGTAGTGAAGCAGCATCCACAAAATCAGAGGTCCTTTTAAGCATCTGATCAATCCTGGATTGCCAATGCAAGGGTGTTCTTAACAGGACATCTGCTTACAGCTTTTACCAGTTTACTTCTATGTCTAACAATCATATCAGGGCTGCTACATTCATCACCTTGAAAATTACCCAGTAGCTCATCAGCTGAAAGACTTTCTGGAAGTCCAGCTTGAATTCACCAACCCATTCAGGCTTTCTAACTTGCCCCAGACACATGGGATGGGACGAATCCCTCCAGCATGGCCCATTTGGAGTTGACCAGCTTCCCTAAGGAAAGAGCAGCAATCTGCAACAGACACTGGGAGATGCCTTTCAGCATTCTGTTCCAGAGAATTTCAACCCGTACCTCGTCTACAAAAAAGGCATTTACATGTTCTAAATTCAGGTACTTAAGGGAGAAGCCTAATTGCCTATCTAGACTTTCTCTGTACTCAGCAGGGCCTCTCAAATGATGCAAAGCTCCCGAGACAGGGTAAGGACAGAGACGTAGGCTAGGTAGGCTAAAAGGACCAGAATTAAATACTCAAAGCTGGATGGGGTGAACACCTTAGGAGCAATGGAAAAACTCATCTTACAAGTGATTATATCTACCACCTTTTGTAGTAGATAAGCTATTTAGGCCACATCACAGCTTCCCTGACACTTTCATGGTGGGAATGCTGCAGGACAGAGAACCAGGTCGATGCAGCATGGTCCTGATCATCTTATGAGGCAATGAGCCAAATCTTGGTACCTGTTACACACGGCACTGGGCAGCAGGAGGCTGCGGTCAGCCAACAGAAAATACCATTGAGTCTGCACCAGAAATAACACGTATCATGAAGAAATTTCCACTCTGTAAAAAAAAAAAAAAATCACATGTGCCAGGGTTATAAATGGCTCATATACACAAGCAGAGCCTGAATGTGGAAAACCTGGTTTAGGAGGAATGGGAAGGAGAAAGATTTTTTTTTTTTGTCTATTTTTTTTAATCTCAACAGATTTTTCCAAAGGCTTTAAAACCCACAGCTCAACAGACTGCCTAGCTACGCTGTGCCTGAAGGACAGCAGGCTTCGGATTTAAAAAAGAAATGTCAGGAAGGATGTTTTCCTCAGACAGCTATCCTAATGTGTCCAAACCCCACCACTCGCACTGCTGTGCAAGTTGGATAAATCATTGTTCTGTCAGGAGTTACTACAATGACTTCAATTTCTATTTTGCTGTAAAAGCTTTACTTCTCTTGAAAATTTCTAGCTTGAGGATGGGCTTTCTATTCTTCCCTCGACACACACACACTTCTTTTATCCAACTATTTCCTTTCTTCATACTGTGGGCATGCTTGCGGGAACAGGTCTGTCTTACTTTGCTCACTGACACCACATCAGATGAAGCTGTATTATCACATGATCTAAGCAGAAAGAAAGAGATGCAGTTCAGCTAAGGGAAACACCAACATTGGGTCGCATTGCGCTAAGAAAATAAATGCAATTATTCATTTTCTAGAAAATAAACGCGATTATCATTCCTGCGGCCCTTAGCCTGGGCATCTATCTGCCTCTAGGGAAACAGTGATCATTTCACAGTCTGAAAAACACTGGAGGAGGGGAAGGGGAGAAACCTTCATGGAAAATTAACTGGGAGATGCTGCAACCTAAAGAATTAATTTCTGTCTCTGCATTTCTGTCTGTGCCATGTTCTGTACCATGCATTTTCCTCTGGACCTTCTGACATTTAGAAGCATTTGGCAGCTCATTAAATTCTGCACATGAAGCAATCCAGCCCTGGGAAACCGTCATACTCGCAGCAGCAATTCACTAGGGACACATACTCTCCGATTTCTACGAAGAATGCCACCATTGCTTTGTTCAGTTTCTTGCCATGAAGTTGTCTTCCAGCGATGCCACATGTAAACTGGGAAAGTACGCAGCAGTGGAAAGTAAAGCGGACACTGCTCATCTGCTATACACCTTGTAAAGAATCGCAGTAATGTCTGATATGGTTATGTGCTGTCAATATTTTAGCCATAGGTTCTTTGAAATTTTCTTCATTTAGAATTGGGCAGCCGCTCCGTTTCCAAGGGGATCAGGCTGGAGCTGGGTGAGATGTGCTCCGATAAAGAATGGACTCTACTGTGGGCTTTTTCCCCTCATTTGAACTAAAATGCGTTGTTTTATTTAGACATAACCAAGAAGGATGGTGGTAGCAGCACTTGCAGAGAATTTATAGCAAGTTGTAACTTTTCCCTGGAAAACGGTACTACGCTCATTTGATCAGAATGGCCTAGGACATGACTGGCATGTGGAGATCATGTGCAGCAGCCCTTGAGGGCATGCTGTGGGATCACAGACTTCCAGTGTTAACTCATGCCTCACAAAGAAACTAGTCCCCAAAGTGGTCTCTTCTGAGGGTTTTTAAGAACGCTGGAGCCAAGACATTTTTTTGGCAGAGGGAAGTTAATTGTATGCAAAGAGGAAAGCGCTCCAGAGGGCTTAGAAAATTATGTCATCCTTCCTCTGCACTGAATGCTAGGACAACAGACTTGGAGCTTGGCTTTCAGAGGTGAGGAATGCCTGCTATCTCGGATGAAAACAGTAGGTCTTCCCAGAAGAAACAGCCATGCTATCAAACTCCTCCCTCCTGCCTGGGTCCCCAGGAGGGCCCAGGGATCAGATTCCTGAAGAAAGGAGGAGCAAGGAGAGGAGGAGATATTTTCCCTGCAGCCACCTCTCTTCTCTTCCTGTGCTATTTTTCGTTGCCTCCTGTTTTTCTAGAGCAAAACAAAGACAGGGCCAACAGTGACAGCAATATCAAGAAAGAAAAACTTTGTTCTTCTAAACAAGAACCTCATTCTAAAGCAGGAAAGAAAATACCATTCTAATGGAAGAATGAAAGGTGAGAATGGCAAAATTTGCCTCCCTCTTGGCAGCCTGAGCTGGTCCCAAGACACACATACAACAGACAGTCTCCCATCCAGCCTGTCCCATGTTGGTCTCCCATCCAGCCCATCCCATATTCTTCTAAACGGTTTGACTGAACAAGCTTTCTCTTCCGTTCATCTGCTCACATTTTAAACACATGCAAACTTTAGCATTGCAAAACACATGTAAATACCAGAACACTTATGGTCAGAGTAGGGTAAGCCATGATAACTCCCCTCTATTTGATTTACTGAAACTATACAGAGGCTACGTGCAGAGAAGATGACCCCCATGGGAGACCCACGTGCAATGAGCAGAACTATGTAGGGGAAAACTGGTGGGAATGAGACTAATTTGCAACAAAATGGTGAATCATGTAGGAGGGTGGCTAGAAGAAGATGCGTTGTTTGAGCTTTACACCAAGATGGAAAAACCCCAAGGACGGCAACAGAATCAAAAAGAAAACAGAGTGAAA